TATATATATATATATATATAGAGAGAGAGAGAGAGAGAGAGAGAGAGATCACATTAGTAGGTCCCATTATCGCATATTGTTCCATAAAGTTAGCCACATTGTCACACGTGGAAGGTGAAATTATTAAACGTTGTCATATAGGTAAGCAGGCTACATCAACACATATTATCGTATTAAGCTAGCCACGTTGCCACGCGCAATAGGCGAAATTATCAAACGTTGTCATATAGGTAAGCCACATTGTCAAACATTGTCACATCAACACACGTTATTGTATCAAGTTAGCCACATTGTCACACGTTGTAGAACAAATTAACATTCTCAAACAATACTGGGACGTATAAAGTAGGTCACATTGCCAGACGTTGTCACATAAGGTAGGCTGATAAACCAGTCAACATTCTCCTAAAAAATAATCAGTAACTCATATGTTTACATGTGCGTATGAGCGTGAATAAACTGGGTGTTCAGGGAATTTCGCGGTCTACATCTGGTATCGGAAAAGATAGACACTTACTTGCAGATAAGACGCCATTTCAAAGAAGCAAATAGAACCAAATACGAATAACAAAATAGTTTAAATCCAGAGAGAAATCTTAGGTCACGTCTGTCATTATACAGAATTTAATTGACAGAGATAAGATCAAAGTTCTGCAGTTTTCGATATTTTTAAATAGCCACAACAAAATGGAAGCAACAGCCGACACAGTAACCATATTTTAATCCGTTCTATAAATACACACTTTTGGGGGTCGCCCAGATGGCAGTAAATTAAGAACACCCGAAGAATAAGAGTAAACAACGCATCTCTCTCTCTCTCTCTCTCTGTCCCCTCAGGCCGTAGGCTCTCCACAACTTCCTATACGTTGTAGCTCTTAATAAATTTTGTTTTCTGTTGTTTCTCCTAAACCTTGATCCGCCATTCATTTACTTAAACTCACTAAGAATTTTATTCGTTGTTTTTCTCTCTCCCTCTTGCCTTCATTCTGCCATGTGAGTATCAGATTCTCCGAGCCTTCCTTCCCCATTAAGTACTCCAGAAATTAGAACTTGCTTTTTCCTGATGTTAAGTGTAAGTTTCCTTTTTGTTTCCATTTTCTCTAAAACTATGTCGTTGCTCACATGTTCGGTCCATGATATAAACAGAATCTTTCTGTAGAACCATATTTCTGTTGCTTCAAGTCTCATCTTCATCTTTGAGTGCATTCACTGCCATTTTAGAGGACAGATATCACGTAACAGTTCAGTACTCTTTTCTTTGTTTCTAACGAAATTTTTCTGTTTCTCAATATTCTATTGGGTTTATTCCATTTTAAATAAATCCACAATGTCTTGCGGCAATTTTTAACATCAACTTGAGATTTTTCTTGTTAAAAAGTTGAATAATTTTAACACATTCAACAGCGTAGATAAAAAATGAGGAAATGTATATAGCGTTTTATCGAGCAAAAAAAACCCCCAGAATGACTTAAAAATACCCGAAATTTTTTAAAGAGATTGCCCTGCACTCACTGCTTATACAAAAGGACAGATATCACGTAATAGTTCAGTATTTTTCCTTGTTACTTGCGATATTTTTCTTTTTATTAATACTCTGCTTAGCTTTTGGAATGCAACTTTCTCTATCCCAATACGCCATCAGATTTCAGTGTCGAACTTTCTGTCCTCTGTTAAACCACTTCCCAACGTAATAGCGTAGGGATTAAACCAGAGAACTAGAAACTTGTAGTTTCTCTTGTTCCTTAAGGAATATTAGACTCCTTTTTGACGCCATATTCGAACGAAAGCTGATCAAGCCGAGTAGACGCCGTATTGATTCGAACGTGCAAATAGGAGTTACAATGGCAATTACGATTCACAAGCGATCCCCAGCCTCATCTATACATACTTTTTAGAATAGAGCGATCCGGTTTGAATTCAGAGTTTCCTTTTTCTAGACTGGATGCCACGCAAAGACCCAGCCTGTTCTGCCAATTTACCCACTATGAAAGTATAAAAATAGGTTTTAATACCAGCAATACATTTTTGAAGGAAAAAAATATTACCAGTAATAAATTTTTGAAGGAAAAAATATTACCAGCAATACATTTTTGAAGGAAAAAATATTACCAGCAATACATTTTTGAAGGAAAAATGTTACCAGCAATACATTTTTGAAGGAAAAAAATATTACCAGCAATACATTTTTGAAGTAAAAAATATTACCAGTAATACACTTTTGAGAAAAAATATTAACATTAATACATTTTTGAAGGAAAAAATATTACCAGCAATACATTTTTGAAGCAAAAAATATTACCAGCAATACAGTTTTGAGGAAAAAAAACATTACCATTAATACATTTTTGAAAAACTATTACCAATAATACATTTTTGGAAAGAATATTACCAGCAATACAAATCTTGTCGCCATTAAATAACCAAGTGAATTTATATGTAGTAAAACAAAACACAGCAAACCAAACCCGTTTATGCCAGAAAAACAAACAAACAAAAACAAAAAACGAATTACCCAAAATTTTGAAGGTTCTAAAAAAAGGATTAAAAAATATAATTTAACGATCGAAAATTCCTTTGGTCATTTTTCTTCATAATAAAATAAAGATTTCGGCGAGAAAACTTTGTTTTTATTAATTTTGTGACATTTTTTCATCATGCATACATTTTTTAGCGAATCTTTGGAGTTATCTACATTTACATTTACGCTATATTTTGTTTAAGTAGCGCCTTAATCACTTCAATTTTATTCATTATGCTAAGTTTTATAAAAGCGTATAGAATAATTTTTTCTTAAACTATTGGTTACATAAGGTTTAAAGGAAATTTATTTTTAAATATATCAGATTCTTGATTATTGTACTGTTAGTTTTTCGTTTTTCTTTAGGTTTCATTTTTACTCCCCCACCTGTGCTTTTTCAAACAGTGGTAGAATTAAAGCATTTCTACTTTGTCCTTTGACCTCACAGGTTACTGTGCGTAAATATAACGTCATTTTCATTCTGTTTTTAGTAAAAGTTAAGCATTTCTTTTAGAAATATCTGGGACGTGTTTTAACAGAGGACGGATAGTGTGACACTGAAATTCGAAGACGTAAGTGAATTAATTAGAAAGTTCGTGCTGGTAAGAAGGAACAAATAAATATCACACAATGTTGCCGCGTCCAATTATTATTATTTTTATTTTCTTTGATTTCTGGCGTTTACACATTTCTTTCCGGGTCCCGCGCCCAGGGAACTAAGGTTAGAAATGGCACCATGACACTTTCCACTGACAAAAAAAAAAAAAATTACGTAGATAAAGCCCTCCGTAAAGTGTGGGCTGTACTTGTTAGAACAATTTTTTGTATCTCCTTGAGGCATGGACTTCCAAGAATCCCTTCGATTAGTCTACTGCAATCTTTTCCAACCAGTCCTAGGGCTCCAATTACAACAGGGATTGTTGATGTTCCCGTGTGCCACATTTTCGAGGTTTCTATTTCAAGGTCCTTGTATTTTGACAGCTTTTTGAATATCTTCAAAGATACATTGCAGTCAGCAGGGACCGCGATATCAATAAGGAGACAATATCTGGGCGGTTGGCTTTGATTGTTCTGTCAGTGTGTATTGTGTAGTCCCATAGAATTGTAACAGGTCCTATCTCCGTAACCGGGTCTGGGTGGTGTTCATACCAGTTTCTTTCAGTTTCCTTCCCGTAGAAGTTGCAGATTTTCCAATGCAGATCTTGGCCCACTCTGTCATGCCGGGTTTTATATTCAGTGGGTGCCAATATCGTGCAACCTGATACAAGATGATCAATCGTTTCTGGATATTTATCACAGAATCTGCATTTTGGGCTGACACAATATTTTAGTATATGTGCTTGATAATTCCTAGTTAGCAAGTATTGGTCCTGTGCAGCAAGGATAAAACCTTCAGTTTCAGCTTTCAACCCTGCACTGATGGGTACGGGTTTTGTCTACGTCATCTTGTTTGGTACGGGCAGAGTATTGGCCATGAAGCGGTTTATCTTGGCATCGCTTCTGTATCTGGTCGGTTGGATTCGTCTTTGCTGTCTTTATTATTATTAGTATTATTATTATTTTAATATTAGATGCGAAACAAAAATTACAAACACCCATCCGCCAAAAAATAAAATCACTTATGAGGTTCGAACCCAAGCAGACATTGGCACTTAAGTCTAACGCCTTGAGCACTCGGCCATGCTGCTTATGGAGTTCAGTTTTGCGTCTACTTCATCACCCGTTTGTAAACTGTAATTTTGGTGTGTGAAAAATTCAATCGAATAATTCCAAATTTTCATCTGGAATCAAGAAAGTACGGACTTTAAGCAAAATGGTTATAAACAATATTTTTTTTAAACAATTCACTCCAAGAAAGGCGATAATGTCACTAAGACGCAAATAAAGAGTCACTGGGAAAGAAAGATCCACTGGGAATGAAAGTGAATGAAAATAATTTAGAGGTAACCGGAAACCCAATCCTAAACAGGAAATAAGGGATAAACCTCTAATCATGTTCAAAAGACAGTAGAGGAGACTGAACTGGGCGATAGGCGAACCTGTCTACTCCTATTCGGAAGGAAAAAATAATTAGTAAATAAAATTTTAGAGATCAGGCGGAGACGTTAGAGACCGGAAAACTAATCCTAAACAGAGAACAAGGACCACTAGTACTGTTCAAAAGACTGCGGGAGAGTGTGAACCGGGCAATAGGACGACATCTCTGCTCTTATATATAGAAAAATGAAAATGTCAGACTTTTAACTTTAAATTATTACCTGTAAATATAGGTTAAAATAATGATATTAGTAATAAATAAATAGGATAAAATATAAGTGTGTCGTAATATTGTTTTAGTCTTTTGAGTTGCAAAAAAAAATTAATTGCAAAAAAGTTTTAGCACGAGTGGGGTTCGAACCCACGCGGACATATGTCCATTGGAACTTAAGTCCAACGCCTTAACCACTCGGCCATCGTGCTTGCCATCAACAACGGTTGTTGTTTATATTAATGTATGTGTTTTTATTACAATCCTATTCCTTATCTTCATTTGTAAATAATAGATCTCTGGCTTTGACTTGTGTAAATCACAACAAGAGAGAAAGAGAGAGTGAGAGAAAGAAAAACAGAGAAAGAGAGAAAGTGAGGAAGACAAAGAGAAAAAACAAAGAGAGAGAGAGAGTGAGTGGGTGAGAGAATAAGAGCGAGAAAGAGAGATAATGAAACAATGAAAAAAACAGAGAAAATAGAGAAATTGAGAAAGAGAGAGAGAGAGAAACAAAAGAAAAACAAAGAGAGAGAGGGAGAGAGAGAGAGAGAGAAACAAAGAGGGAGAGAAAGAGAAAGAGAGAGAGAGAGAGAGAGTGGAACAAAAAGAATTAAAACAAAGAAAGAGGGGAAGAGACAGAAAGAGAGAGAAACAAAAGAAAAACAAAGAGAGAGAGAGAGAGAGAAACAAAGAGGGAGAGAAAGAGAAAGAGAGAGAGAGAGTGGAACAAAAAGAAAAAACAAAGAAAGAGGGAGAGAGAGAGAGAAAGAGAGAGAGAGAAAAAAGAAAAACAAATAGAGAGAGAGAGAGAAACAAAGAGGGAGAGAAAGAGAAAGAGAGAGAGAGAGAGAGAGAGAGAGTGGAACAAAAAGAAAAAACAAAGAAAGAGGGAGAGAGAGAAAGAGAGAGAAAAAATGAAAAAACAAAGAGAGAGAGAAAAAAGAGGGAGAGAAAGAGAAAGAGAGAGAGAGAGAGAGTGGAACAAAAAGAAAAAGCAATGAAAGAGGGAGAGAGAGAAACAAAGAGGGAGAGAAAGAGAAAGAGAGAGAGAGAGAGAGAGAGAGTGGAACAAAAAGAAAAAGCAATGAAAGAGGGAGAGAGAGAAACAAAGAGGGAGAGAAAGAGAGAAAGAGAGAGAGAATAGAACAAAAAGAAAAAAAGAAAGAGGGAGAGAGAAAGAGGGAGAAACAAAAAGAAAAACAAAGAGAGAGAGAGAGAGAAACAAAGAGGGAGAGAAAGAGAAAGAGTGAGAGAGTGGAGCAAAAAGAAAAAACAAAGAAAGAGGGAGAGAGAGAGAAAGAGAGAGAAAAAAGAAAAACAAATAGAGAGAGAGAGAAACAAAAGGGAGAGAAAGAGAAAGAGAAAGAGAGAGAGAGAGAGGAACAAAAAGAAAAAACAAAGAAAGAGGGAGAGAGAGAGAAAGAGAGAGAAAAAAGAAAAACAAATAGAGAGAGAGAGAAACAAAGAGGGAGAGAAAGAGAAAGAGAGAGAGAGAGAGAGAGAGTGGAACAAAAAGAAAAAACAAAGAAAGAGGGAGAGAGAAACAAAAAGAAAAACAAATAGAGAGAGAGAGAGAAACAAAGAGGGAGAGAAAGAGAGAGAGAGAGTGGAACAAAAAGAAAAAAAAACAAAGAAAGAGGGAGAGAGAGAAAGAGAGAGAAAAAAGAAAAACAAAGAGAGAGAGAAACAAAGAGGGAGAGAAAGAGAGAGAGGGAGTGGAACAAAAAGAAAAAACAAAGAAAGAGGGAGAGGGAGAAAGAGGGAGTAACAAAAGAAAAACAAAGAGAGAGAGAAACAAAGAGGGAGAGAAGGAGACAGAAAGAGAGAGGGAGAGGGTGGAACAAAAAGAAAAAACAAAGAAAGAAAGATATAGAAACAAAGTGAAAAACAAAGGAAGAAAGATAGAGAGAGACACAGAGAGAAACACAGAGCACAGAGAGAGTAAGAGAGAGAGAGAGAGAGAGAAACAGAGAGAAAACACAAAGAAATAGAGAGGGTGAGAAAGAGATAGAGAGACACAGAGAGAAACACAGGGCACAGAGAGAGTAAGAGAGAGAGAGAGAGAGAGAGAGAGAGAAAAAAAAACAAAGAGAAAACACAAAGAAATAGAGAGGGTGAGAAAGAGAGAGAGAAACAAAGAGAAAGCACAAAGAAAAAGAGAGTGAGAAAGAGAGTGAGAAAGAGAAAGTGAAAGAGAGAGAGAGAAACAAAGAGAAAATACAAAGAAAGAGAGAACGAGAAAGAGAGAGTGAAAGAGGGAGAGGGAAACAAAGAGAAAAACAAAGAAAAAGAGAGCTTGAGAAAGAGAGAGTGAAAGAGAGAGAGAAACAAAGAGAAAACACAAAGAAAGAGAGAGTGAGAAAGAGAAAGTGAAAGAGAGAGAAAGACAAAAAGAAAAACAAAGAAAAAGAGAGGGTGAGAAAGAGAGAGTGAAATAGAGAGAGAAACAAAGAGAAAATACAAAGAAAGAGAGGGCGAGAAAGAGAGAGTGAAAGAGGGAGAGAGAAACAAAGAGAAAAACAAAGAAAGAGAGAGTGAGAAAGAGAGAGTGAAAAAGGGAGAGAAACAAAGAGAAAACTCAAAGAAAGAGAGAGTGAGAAAGCGAGAGTGAAAGAGGGAGAGAGAAACAAAAAGAAAAACAAAGAAAAAGAGAGAGAGAGAAAGAAAGAGAGTGTGAAAGAAACAAAGAGAAAGACAATGAAAGAGAGGGAGATACAGAAAGAGAGAGAAAAAGAAAGAGAGAGACAGAGAGAGAGGTGAGGATGAATTACAAACAGGCAAATACCGACCTTTAGCTTGACCTAATCAGTGATATAAATAGATATACAGGTAGCGTAACGGCAATCAGAATGTTCAGCGAACCTGGCGAACCGAGTTCGAATTCTTCCATTAGACTTCACACACTTTGAAAAAGCTTGAACCTACCTCTCCTCTCCCCAGGGCATGGTAGACTGGACACTAATTTAAAAATGTAACGGCAAGCTCTTCCACTATATCTTTACCAAGAAATCACGTAAATGTGCCATACGTGATACACACTTAGGCGATCATGCATCTTTCGATACATGACTGATGAGGCAGATTTTTTTCCCACAGTAGGTTGCTATTTTTTTCTAAAGTAGACTAGTTGCCATCCAAGGCTACAGAACCCAGTCTGTCCTGCTATTTATCCATAGCTGGAGGGAGAAGAAGGGGATTCCTACCTTTCTCAAGGGTATTAGCACGTAAGTGAATGTAACGGATTTGAACTCGGCTCTCCGATTCCTCAGTCCGAGCCGCTATCCCTTACTCCATTTAAAATAAAGAAGCTGTGGAGAGACATCATTCAAACACACAAATATTCAATTCTTATTCTAATCGTTATTTAGTGGGTCCACGTATTTGAGTCGTCGTCCCTCACTTTTTCTTAAAAAAAAAGTAATGAAATAAATTTCTGTTTGAAATTCTGCTTTTTTGTCTAGCGGCATATCAACTCTTAATGGGTCATGTAATGCCGAAATTGTATTTTCTTAGGAGCATTAGTATTTTTTTTTTTTTTGAAAAAATGTATTGCTGGTAATTTTTTCTATGAAAATATATTGCTGGTATTTTTACTATAAAAATCTATTTTTATACAGAAAAACCTCTCAGCTGCGGACCAAATCCCCCCCCACAACGGGCTTCGGATGCAACAAATAAAATCTGCAGGCAAAATAAACAGATGCTGATTGCAGACGACACTTATGACAAAAAGGCATGGTAAATAAAAAGCGCAAACAAATTCCTCGGCTGCTTCCACGTCCCAAAGTGAACCGTTTATGGTTTGGTCGTGATTACCAAACATGGGACATTGAGAAGTGGAAGAAAGTCCTGTTTTCTGATGAGAAAAAATTAAATTTAGATGGTCCTGATGGCTTTCAACGATATTGGCATAACAAAAACATGCCTCCTGAAATTTTCTCCATACGTCATAGTGGTGGAGGATCCCTAATGGTATGGGGGTGCCTTTTCTTACAGAGGGATGTGGGAGCTCCAGGTGGTACAGGGTCGTCAGACAGCGGCTGGTTATGTTAGCATGCTACAAAAAGCATCGTTGGTGACGGAGGGCCATTGTTTGTTTGGGGATGAATGGTTATTCCAACAGGATAATGCTGCAATCCACGCTGAATGCTGGACCTTGATCTTTCTACAAGAAAATGGGGTCCATCTCTTGAGACATCCTGCATGCTCATCGGACTTGAAACCTATTGAAAATGTTTGGGGATGGATGGCAAGAGATTTTTATCGAAATGGCAAACAATATTCAACAAAAAAATGAACTTCGTGAAGCTATCTTCAGAAGCTGGAGCAAAATTCCTCGCAGCTTAATGGAAACACTAATTTCAAGCATGCCCCAAAGAATTTTTGAAGTCATCAAAACCAGTGGAGGTAGAACTCATTATTAAATTTGGTAGTTGAATGTTTTCGTACACTTTTCGTACAATTTCGTAGAATTTTTGTCTCTGGTCTTATAATTTTGATCAAGTATAAAACGCCTCATTTTATAAAAATGTCAATGTCTCAATAAAAAGTTCGGATTATAACTTTTTGTCTACATAACCTTTTAGATAATAAAATTAGTAACCTTAAGAAATGTTTAAAATTTTTCAAGTAGTCTTAAATTTTTGATCAGGAGTGTATTTGGAACACAATTTTATGGCTTCAACTAAATATATACTATAAATAGGTATTGTTGGTTAGTCGATTTTGTTTAGCGGCATATCAACCTTCATGGGTTATTTAATGCCGAAATCTAAATATTTAAAAGACAATTTTATATCTTCAACTAAATATATACTATAAATAGGTATTGTTGGTTGGTTGATTTTGTTTAGCGGCATATCAACCTCTATGGGTTATTTCATGCTGAAATCTAAATATTTTGAGCACAATTTTATGGCTTCAACTAAATATATACTATAAATAGGTATTTCTGGACTGTCCTAAAGGAATTCAAGGCTGATTAACATATACAGAAAACGAACAATGAGGCATTAAAAATATAAGGAAAATTTATTCCTTTTAAAAATTAATTCCCTTTATTTGCCTAAAAAAGGTCACGAGACCGGAAACATGTATAGCAGTAACATCAACAATAAAATATATATATATATATATATATATATATATATATATATATATATATATATATACTAAAACAAATCCACATTATAACCAAAAACGTGTGGGGTTACTCTCTTTTTAAAAATATACATATTTCTCTCGTTGACATTGCATTTGAATAGTTGGAGATTATAGCTATCAGGGAAGCAAGTAAGAGGAAGGGAATTTCACTGATGGGAAGTGCTAGACATGAAGCTATTGTAGTAGAAGAGACGGATACATTGAACCGTTTCGACAGTAAAAGGGCGGCACCGAGATGCCGACCCAGTGGCACGTTTAAATTCGTGCACTTTGGGAACTAGCGAAAGTAGCTTGTCGGAGCAGTTACCGTGAAAGTATTTGTAGAAAAGGAAGAGGGAGGCTACGGCACGTATGTGAGAGAGCGACTGTAAACGAGATGCCATATCAGGGCCAATCACATTGCATATTCGTCATATATATATATATATAAATCGCTAACATTTGTTTTTTCACCCTTTATGAAGTCGTCAAAAAACAAATGTTAGCGATTTACGACAGTTTTTATATACACAAAACCCTTTCAGAAAAAAAATAAAAAATAGAATAAAAAAATAAATACATCTCCATAGACACTTAACCAGACTAGACGATGTCATCTTCCGCTTTAAATTTAGACACCCCAACCTTACCCTGACTTGACATCTGTGAATGTAACTGAGATATTGATACAAATTATTAACACCTTACGCCCCTTTTTCTTTAAACAATTGCTCTAGCCATTACCATAGAAATTTTGATTTAAATAATGAATATGCTTATAAAACACGTAAATTTCAGAAATAAGTTATTCCAAAAAAAATTCGCTCGAAGATGGAACAGAGCTTAGTACTTTAATTCAATTTAATTCAAATAATTATATTGAAGTTTTCGGCTCTTGTTTTGAAACATGAGAACTCTTATGTAGCGTGTTGGAATCATATTTTTAAATAAATAATTATATATATATATATATATATATATATATATATATATATATATGTATGTATGTATGTATGTATATAAATATATATCATCATCAGTGTGGCTGTAAACTGGTCAGAACCAACCTCAGATTTGCTCATCTGTTGCCTCACATTAATCTTGTGTTGACGCAGTGTGCTTCTTTGTTCATGAGTACAAATAGTAGGAAACATAATGGTTGAATGTTGCGCGTGCATATATATTAAGGAGAATGCTGCCAATGCGACTTAAGAGGCACATGTATATAGTTTACCTTTGCAAAAACAGACAAATCTAAGATTTCGCTCTTTGAAAAAAAAAAATAATAAAATAAAATGGATATGGGAAGCCGGACCAATTCAAAATGCTTTGATAAATGGCTCGGCAGTTATTTTTAGTTGACAGAAGAAACTTAGACGCTTTCAAATACAAACAGACAGCGTGTCACTTGTTAGATAACATGGCGTATTTGTTGCCGGTAGGCTATATTCACTGAACCATAATCACGCTTACGTCATTCAACAGTTGGCTGAATCAAATCACGTGATATCTTCTACTTCCGGTTGTAGATGTGTTCTATAGATTAACACAAATAAACAAGCTCTGACAGACTCGAGAAAAGCAATTTTCGTTTGGTTCCTTTTTCGTCAGACGCTAAGACCATTTGTAAGAAGGTTACTTATAAACCAGTTGTTCTTCGGCTGATGAAGATTTCTTACATAAAAAAAAAAAAACCCTCAAAGATGGATTCTTTTCTTGTATAACAACCGGATGTTGTCTGCGCATGCCATTTTGAAACGTTTTGAACAACAGGAGATGGCGAGGACAGAGATTGAGTCACCGTCGTTAAATGTCGAGAATTTTCAAGGGTCTCTTCGCCGGTGGCCCGTGCGAGGTTTTGAAGGAATAAATCATGGGAAAATCGAGAGCTTTCTTGTAATGGTGTAAAATCTCAGCAATGACATTAATAAAATAAAATGCCTCCAATATATATAGGCACACACACACACACATATATATATACACGCGCATACACACGCATATGTATACACGCACACACACATATATACACACATATATGCACGCATACACACACACACACATATATATATATACACGCACACATATATACACACACAAACACATAAATACACGCACAAACACATACATATATACACGCACACACACACATATATATATATACACGCACACACATATATATGCACGCACACACACATATACATGAACACATATATATACACGCACAAACACACACATATATATACGCGCACACACATATATATACACGCACAAATATATATACACGCACAAATATATATACACGCACAAACATATATATACACGTACATGCACGCATATATACACATACATATATATACACGTACATGCACACATATATACAAACATACACACACACACAAACATATATATATATATATATATATATATACGTATACACACAATCATTGAAAGAAAAGAGAGAGAAATGGTTAAGGAGTGTGTGTACAATGGATAACGAAGGCGACGAAAAGGACTAATGATCAGGCCATTCTACTACAGTTTCGCAAAGAATCGAACCGGGGCCATTGCGATATGACGCAAGCGTCATACCACTGGACCGACGAGCGTCGATGGGCAAGAGGTAACAAATCAAACTTCATATAGCGCCTGCTCTTCA